GTCAGTACTTTTGGATGTGTGAATTACTAGGTAAGAGGGAAACAATCTGGCAGAAAGTTTTGACCTAATGCTGAACCTCTTAACAGTGACGCTTAAACCGGTATGACTTGGTGGCAAGTGTCAATTTGTCTCCTGACATTGTGTCCTATCCCCCGATTGTTAGTAGTTCAAATCCGGTAACACCATCAATCTTCTTATATAAATTATTAATTTCCTTAAGCAACCAATTACTTTAACGTGCCTATGTACAAGCAGTGCAAGTAGTCGGTCACTGACCTAATATAATGTAGACCAAAGCAGAACATTTACAATTTACCTACGTTAAAATGCGAAGCAATCCGCTGATGAAAATCACGAAAAACCTATTTGTCATAATCACAAGGTACTCAGAGAAGACTAACAGTAAAGGCTCCTCATGCGCAATGGATAGGATTAAACGCTCCCATTTCATTCATTACTCAAATTCTCAGTACAGCAGTTTCAAGGGCTGTCTGTGTTTAAAATGGGCAATAAAATCACATCCAAAAACTGAAATTTCAATGTCTGCGATCGTCAGATCAGTCATACCTACATACCAGGTCATATCTGAACGAGCAGAAAATCCCTACAATTGTTGAATGTAGTATTTCACCTATTCCCTGCTTCTCTATGCTAGTTTAAAGGTATAAAAATGAATTCAGACATCAATGATGTATATCAAGGCGAGTAGAATAACACATTGAATGATATAGTCATTCAGTATTCTGCCTTAGAATCCTTTAACAGTATCCCCTCAACTGTTCAATATCGACCTTTCGAAAGTTGCCTACAAAACAACAACTCTCTCTCTCTCTCTCTCTCACACACACACACACACACACATGCACTAATATTCTTCCAAAGACTCTGAAGTGTGTAAGCAGTATGAATTGCGTACGATGCGATGTAGGCTACAGGCATCTGCTTTGGTATCGTTGAGCAATTATGAGTATTGTCAGAAGTTGCACATGAAGCACTTCGCTTTACGCCTTGTTCTGCAGTCCAGAGGTGCAGACTTCGGCATCTAAGCACCGCTTCAACGGCATACACACAGATACAGCTCCACGAGTGATCATGACTTTGTTTTCTTCTGCCGCCCTGACGTTTAGATCTGGTGGCGAAGGCGACGGCAGCGGGGGCACTTCGTTAGCGCGAGTTGACGCTGCTGTTGTGAACAGGAGAAGAAGGCTTGTTGAGAAAGTAGTAATTCACACAAGCAGCAAATTACACCAAGAGAAAACTACTTAACGACAATCGAATCAGGCCGTCAACAGCAAGAAGCCTGCCTAATTTTCAAAGCATGTGCATTGTCGAACGATGGACGTAATCGAATAGACGCCTAGCCTTCACGTCTGCAGTCATCAACGGCGTCGAGACGGACAATCTGCCGACAGACCATGAGGGTCGTTCTCGACAACCCTGTCGACACTTCATTAGCACTCATCTCTCGCCTCGCCCAATCACACGTCAGACCATTTATGAGAAATTAGGCTATCTCAGCGAAAAACATGTCGCTTCTTTTCTTTGCTTTGTTAACCG